ATTTTTTTTTTAAAACCCACCCGGTTATTAAAACATATAAAAATTTTTTTTTTGAAATTTTCAAATTTTGATCCGGCCGGTTATGAAAACCAATTAATTAATTTTGCATGACCTAATATATAATTAAACCAATTTATATATCAAAATATCTTTTTTACTAGAATAGTTAATATCAACTAAGAAGTCTATACCTTCCCTAAATTAGCATCAATCTCTATCTTCTTTTATAGCTAGAATATTTTATTGTACAGTATATTGTACAGTATAATAAATATATTTTACCTAATAAAAAATAAAATAAAATAAAATAAACCTCGCTTTCAAAAAAAAAAATAATAATAATTAAAATAATTGAAATCTTTATATTAAATTTTTATTATATTATATAAACCTCTATTTTATACAAAATTGTATTCTAACTCTAAAAAAATATAGAAATGGTTAAATTACTCCTGGTTAAACAGTTAAAAACAATACTGTATACAGTATATTTAATATTTCTTTTTAAATATACTGTATACTGTATGTTACGGTTTGGTTTATTATTTGCGTAATATATAATTTGTAGTTAGTTTGTTATCTAGTATATATACACATTTGTTAGATTCTTACTACTATATATGTAGAAGTAAAATGCTATCCAGGTAAAAGGTCTTTGTTCTAAATGTTATTTTTCACGTGTGCGGATCCAATTAAATTATCCGATTTTTTGAAATAAAGCAATTTGAGTGGACCCGTATACGTGAAAAATAAACAATTTATGATTTAGTGAATGAAACCTATAACGAGAGTGACTTGTATACAAATTTTTATATCTCATTGAATAAAAAAAAAAAAGTACCATGCAGCCATAATGCAAGCAAATTCACTATTCAATAAATTATAAATACAAAAAAATGTTTATTCAAAAGGGTTGAGAATACACGCATTAACTTTTATACAGCGATCTAAAATTCGTTTATATCTATAAAGCATTAATATAGATTAAAGACAAATTAATAGCATCAATTATTTCGAATAAACTATAATCTTGTAATAACATTATCAAATATTGTATTTTAGGCAATCACAATGCTGCAACAATTTTCTCTATGTCAAATTTGAAATTGACCATCGGATTGTCACTATTTCCAAGGCTTCGAGAACGTGAATTAAATCCTTCCTTTGGATTCGTACCACCTGGAGGGATAAACGCATGAATTCTATCAAGAAGTTCGTGACGAACCCGAAGATCCGGTGAAATTTCGACTAATCTGGTAGCTTCAGGATACGCTCGTTTGCTGGACGCACTAGATCCATTTTCATTCAACTTATTGTCTTGCGGAGTGTATCTTACATAATCACCCAAAAATGGATTATTTTCTTTGTTAATTTCAACACGAACATTATCATTGTTGGAATGGCCAAATTCACTTATTTTCTGGTCATACCCATGAGGAATTGATGCTGACATTGAATCATTACTAATAAGATTAGGAGAAACATTTTCACCCACAACACCATTATTCGAGGGATTTGTCAACTTTAGCAGATTCAGCAGTGCTCTTTCTTGAGCTTGAATTTCTGCGTCAAAGACTTTAGGGGATAAAGGAGCGCCTTGCGGCGGAGGAGAAGCCGTTATTAGACGTAACAAAGACTCTTTATTTACCCTTAGCGAACTAGGAGTACCTGGTATGCCCAGTTGTGAATTCATAGTAGAAGAGGAAAAAAAATGTATTTTGTGGTTTGAATGGACTTTCGGCAGTTGCGCGACAAGTATTGGGAGTATTCTTATCGGAATTCGACGAATATGTCGTAGAAAATAAACCCAATAATGACATCTTCCGTGCGACTTTATGAATTTCGGGGTTGTTATTTTCATTATTATTTGAAGGTCTTCCTTGGCCAATAGGACCAACATTAGTCGACAATTTTGGAGTGGTAGCGCCTTGACTCGAATGTCTGCTGAACGCGGAATCTCGGCGATTTCCTAAATAATTTGCATCTGGAATTGCGCTAGATTGTGATGTCATGGCTTTCGGGTTCCTTTGAGCAGCTGAATTTTGAAACATACTGAACATGGTATTGGTATGAGTATTAGAACTCGACATAATTTCTGCAGTGTTGATATGATCGTATGAACTAGGTAAAAAATGTAATAAAGATTGTTGCGCTTGATGCTGAGTGATGTCATCGTGAGTTAAAGGAGTAGAAGTCGAATAAATTTGATTGGAAGTCGAAGGTATTTCTGATTGAAGTACGTTAAGTAACGAATTTCTACGTTGATCGTCATGACCTACGGTTGCTGATGACATAGGAGTTGTTGCACCACATTGTTTAGACGAAGTTGAAGCAGTAAATAAACTCAGTAATGAATTTCGACGAAGTTTCTGTTCAGGGTCCAAGGCAGCAATGGCTGCGTTAGAGTTAGCGTTTATCGGGACAGGGGCTGTTATGTCACGACTATTGGTCGTGTTGATATGTGAATGAGAATTAGAGTATGTAGAACCGATTGATGATTTTCTTCTAGGCATATGTAGCTTCGCACCTTCCAAGTTTGATAAACTGGAGGATTGAATTTTATTAGGTGTCGACTGAAGAAATGTTAAACCATTTGAGGTATACGAATCAAAAGGTGATTGGCCAAGAGGAAGTGAAGTCGAGAAATATGAATGAGATTGTGTAAATTCAGATGCCGGCATTTGATTATACTCAAAGTTTAATCCTGCATCCGGTGCATTAAGTTGTTGTAATTCCTGTGGCAGTGAAGTGGAAAACGTAGGTATCCGTGTGGACATAGGGGCATCTAAGCTAAACATTGATCGCATAATTGTCTGAGACGTGCCGTGGATATTTGGAGATGATTTATGTAATTTCACACTAAATGTTGGTGATTGTTCATGAGGGCTACCTTCGCTTTCTGTACCTGGTACTGAAGTTTCCGGAGATGTTTCTTTTGGTCCTGAGTCTGTACCATGACCATTGAATACTACGACTTCAGAAGATTCCTCTTGATGTGATGCATCAGTTACTCTTTTGCGTACCAATTTTCTTTGTGATTTTAACCAATGTCGAAGTTTGCTTGAAATAAGATATATTGACAATAATTTATATATGTCAAGAGAATTTTATAATTCGGGAACGGACATGACGAAAAACTCACTGCATACCTAACAAAGGGGACGACCATGTAAAACCTACTGCTCCCATATTTCACACAACCGCCTCCACAATTATAAGGAGTATCCTTGTCTCGACTCCTGATCCACGTTGGTAAGTCAGATACTTTATGCCATTCTACTTTCTATTATATCATAAATAAATTTATGAATAATTTATATATATATACATTTTAGAAATTTTGACAGGTATTAAAGTATAACGCACACTAATCTCTTTTCGCGTTTTTGGACAAAATTCTGTATCTTCAGGAACACCAACAACAATATATAGTCTTATTCGTTGTTCACGAATAGTTAGTTCTACATAGTCGTGTTCCTTAATTAAGGGTGATATATCATATCCGGTTTCCTCCAAAACCTGCAGATTCATTGAACGTATTTAGAAGATCGTAACTATGAAAATTTTAATTTGAATAACCAACGAACCTCACGAGCCGCACAGGTAGAATCCGGCTCATCCTTGTTAATTTTTCCCTTAGGAAATCCCCATCCAGAACGAGATGACCACCCTTTTACCAGTACACACTGATCAAAAAAACGCATGAACAATAAGAACTAAAGAATTCATTTTACTTTAAACACAAAGAATGCAATAACCTGGTCCATTGTATCATTTAGCATAATGGCTCCGCATACGGGAACTCGAATTTTATATTGCATGAAATCGGCAAACGCTTTTTCGTGTTCATGAGACCATTGATGTAATAGCGGGCAATGCTTAAAAAGTGTGCAAGAGTTAGGAATAGTTTAAATAAGTCGTACCCACAAAATATTCGCAGAAATAACACTTTTATATTTAAAAGCTTGGTGCATGTCAACGTTGTGATAAATATTTACTATAACAATTCGATATATGATCTATCGAATCAAAAGGATATATTTTGCTGAGAAATTTTTCAGATTAAAGCTTGGCAAACTGGGGTTCTGTTCTCTAACAAAATCTTCATAAAACCAATGTGCCTGTTCAATTTGAAAACATATACGCTCCACAGAAGCCAATTCTTCCTCTGGAACATTTATTATGAATCGACTAGATTAATAGTACAAAAACTGTAAGTATTCATATTCTTTAAATATATTTATTAAATAGATATCTAAGTAAAACTAAACCTTGATAAGTCGTCCAAAATTTCTGAAAAAGTTGCATTCGCTAAAGCCATGGGTTTTAAGGCTCGTAAGACTAAAAGGCTTTTAATTTTATTACAACTCTGTCGTGCCCAAAGAAAATGCACGTCAATAATAAAAGGCTGGCAGCTTGAGTAAACGTCGAAATATTAAAAAAATAAATTATAAACAAATAAAAGGTTAGAAACTTTTAAACTACTAAAAACGAAAAAGTATAGAAAAAAAGTGTCTTTATAATCTTAATTACGATTTAAGAAAAGTTATCATTATAAGAATTTCGGTTTGGCAATCACATGATTGTGGTGGCTTGAACAAGCAGGCGTTAAATTTGATTGGATGAAAGACCAGAATGATACACAATATGTTCTACATATTAGCGTAACGTTTCGCATTACAAAAATGGATTGACAGTCACCAATTTTTAAAGTATATCGATGTATATATCTTGTAACTATCGAAGTAATTCGGTAATCGCCAATTAATATAGAAACCTGAATATAATAAAGGTAAAATTAAAAGTTATAAAATTTACTAACTCTTTAATCTTTGTGATACTTTAAAAAAAATAAATTTATTAAAATTTTATTTTTATATATAATATAAGAAATAAATTTTTTTTTTTTTTTTTTAGTTAAGGTGACCTCTTGGTTAGTGACTTTTTATTAAGTGATAGTTAATATTACAATTGTAATAAAAGTACAACTAGCTACTGTGCTTTTGGCACTATCTATACTAGATGTTTGTACTTTACTGAAACTATAAAAAAATAAAAAATATTATTATTATATATTTATTATGTTTTTATTATAATAATTACTAGTGATAATTTAATAA